TGATGGTCTGGGGCTGTTTTGCTGCTTCAGGACCTGGAAGACTTGCTGTGATAAATGGAACCATGAATTCTGCTGTTTACCAAAAAATCCTGAAGGAGAATGTCCGGCCATCTGTTCGTGACCTCAAGCTGAAGCGAACTTGGGTTCTGCAGCAGGACAATGATCCAAAACACACCAGCAAGTCCACCTCTGAATGGCTGAAGAAAAACAAAATGAAGACTTTGGAGTGGCCTAGTCAAAGTCCTGACCTGAATCCTATTGAGATGCTGTGGCATGACCTTAAAAAGGCGGTTCATGCTCGAAAACCCTCCAATGTGGCTGAATTACAGCAATTCTGCATAGCTGAGTGGACCAAAATTCCTCCACAGTGCAGTAACAGACTTGCAAGTTATTGCAAAAGAGTTATTAGGTTTAGGGGGCAAACACTTTTTCACACAGGGCCATGTAGTTTTGGATTTTGTTTTCCTTTAATAATAAAAACCTTCATTTAAAAGCTGCATGTTGTGTTCACTTGTGTTATCTTTTACTAATATTTAAATTTGTTTGATGATCTGAAACATTAAAGTGTGACAAACATGCAAAAAAATAAGAAATCAGGAAGGGGGCCAACACTTTTTCACACCACTGTATATATAATACACACACATACATGCACACACACACACAAAGAAAAACAAGTAGATAGAATAGAAAAAATAGAAAGCTAGTGTTTGTTTTTTGTTGTTGTTGTTTTTTTTAAATAATTTTACCCACATTAATCCATATTGACAAGTAAATTTATAGCACATTAGTGGTACACAACAAAAAATGGCTAATGTATTGAATAATTATGTTTTGATTTATTTATTTTTTTGGATTATTGAGTAAGCTAAATGTTTTACAAATAAAATAGATTTTTATTTATTTTTATTTCTGCCATTGGTCAGACAACATATACAGCCACATGTAGTCCTGGAAAGTATAAAATAAGCCATGCTGCCCAGATTTCTTTCTTTCTTGTTTTGTTTTTTTTGACCCAATTTATTATGAATGCCTCTATAAATCAGTTACTGTAGATTAAATTTGATTAACTTTGCCCCTTGTTAATCTAACACTCACCTAACAATTCATGCTTCACATCGTCCAATTCATTCTGTGCTCATAACAGTTTTGTTTAAACTAGAGCCTTTGTTCACCACAGCTCATGGCACTGGGTCTTGGCATGGCTTGGCTGTCAGTGTAAATCATTCACTAGCCCACTGAGATGATAAAGCCCGGGAGAAATGAATTACCCAGGATGCACCGCGTTTGCCAGGCATAGACAGGATGAGATAGTGGCTAATGTTGCCCACCTACCCATTCCACAATCTCTGGATTCGGCCGGTGCAAAAAGAGCCGATCACCGGTAGTAGTGCGGTCAATAATGAAATAAAAATGCGAGGGGTGTGTATGGCATGACTATAATGAATGCCATGAAAAACCTTGAGCTGAAGCGGCACAGATGAGGACAACTATAAAATGGATTTTAAGAGGGTGGGTAATAGTGGCTGAATGTGATTCAAAGGATCTGTTGATACTCAGAGATGGTAAAGGATTAAATTTTCAATCATTAGAGATAAGCAGACCAGTACCTCCACCTCTTCCAGTCAGACGGGGGGAGTGGGAAAAAGATAGATTATTTGAGAGTGCTGCAGGTGTAGCATTGTCCTCTGGTTTGATCCACGTCTCTGTCAGGGCCATGAGGTTTAGTCTTGAATGACTTGTAATAGAAGTAATAAAATCTGCTTTGTTTACAGCAGACTTGCAATTCCAGAGACCAATAGAAAAAGGAAGTAGTGTATTAGTAGACATAGGCAAAGTGCTTAGGTTCTTAGGATTGCGCTGCCTACAGTGTGTGATGCATATTTCACTTAAATATGCTCAAATCTGAATAATGTTCAGTATTTCTTACTCTATGACTAATTTAGTTGACTTAAAGAATGCAATACATCAAGTGCAGTTTATTGAAAGAAAACACCGAAGCTAAAACACAACAATGACTTGACTTGAACATACCTGAACGTAATCATGACCTTGACCTTGACAAAGACTCACCATCAGCGGGTTACATAAACGATAAACAACAAACATGGCAAACATGAGGGCTTCAATTCATGGACATGGGGAAACACATGAAAACAACAACCAATGACAAAGTGGAACTGAAAATAAGGCAACAAGACAATAAATCAATGAATGAAAAGATATGAAAACATAAACATAAAACTTAGAACCGGCACGTGAATTAGTAAGACAATGTTAAACAGTTTATTTATACATTCCAGGTGACTTTCTATTCACAAAGGGTCTTCTGCACTTATAGAGCAAAGACAGAGCCACTTCCTACCTCCCAGAGGTGCTCTACATTTACTATGTTACATTTACTTTAATAACTTTTTAGTAATAAACCAATTTCTGTACTAGTTTAGTACATTACTCACCTGTGGCACCATTTCCAACAAAAGATGAAACAGGTTCAATCGAATGACAGACTTATAAAGTAAGAAAATGAGCACATAAAAGACTGAAGTTACATAATAATAACCAAAACAAAGCTTAGAGACACGTACTGAAGGAATTCTCATCTTTTTTCCTTTGTGTTCCCATGTTGGCAAAGCCTTTGAAAGACATACTTGCAACTTCAGTTTGTATCGTTAAATCAGACTGCACTAGAGTAAAAGAGTCGGAGTTAAATACTTCAAAGAAATGAAACCAAAACCAAACTTCAGACTGGTTGTGCAAGATTTATAAACTCTCCCCACTACTTATTTAGCCACAAGCTCTAATAATTTAAAGAGTAAATGATTCATATAACAATAACACAATCATTCAAGTAATTTTCACAATTACAAAATATATCTTTCTTACTAAAATAAATACAAATGCAAAATTAACTGTTCTTCCAGCCAGGAGTCACTTCAGACACAGCAGACCAGAAAAACCTTTTATACCTTGATGATGATTTTTAAAGCAACCAAGTTGCACGAGGCTTGCATGTGCTTTACAGTTCTACAGTTTGATTGGTTGCACTCATACTGGCCTTACTGCAGCTGGACTATCCCTTTTGGAACACAGTCAGTATTCTCTTTCCAAAATCTATCAAAGCAAACAAAACAATTCACTTAAGTAATAAAGATGACAAATCATTTTCAATAGTTATGAAACATTGTAAAACTCATGAAACTAAATGCTCTGATATAAAGTAAAATGGATGTAGGTTTTGAAAACCACTGGATGAGAGGATTGAAGAGGTTGGGGCATATGGAAGGTTTGATTTGTATCAAATCTGTGAGATGTAGCTATTGCTGTTTACACCAATAGATGGCAGCAATACTTTTTAAATGCTTTGTTTTCATCCAAGAAAATTGTATTTGCTTATTAGTGTTTTGTTGTGGCTGTATATTATTATTATTATTTTTTTTTTTAAATAATACAAAAAATATGCAGCCAATTATAACTTATTTATTCATTTATAATTAGAAGAGAATAGCGTATCCCCCCTACACATCAACTGTTAGCAATACACAACCAGCACTGTGACACACTAAAAAGCTGAAGAATGCTGTTATTAAAGCAGCACTATGTAACTTTTGGCGCTCTAAGCGGTTAATAAACAGAACTGCACACATCCCGCGGAAGAACATTCTAACCGGAGCTACTTCTCTAAGTTTACGTCTATGGCGATTCACGCAGGTATGTGTTACTCCGCAGCGGTGACGACCCGACCAGGCTACAATAGTCCGAATATAAGTACTTATTATAAGTGTACCGTAGTGATTCGAAATAAGACAAAATGAATTCATGATGTACTCGCTCATTATATACATTTTGCAAAATTTGAACACAGAAAAAGTTACATAGTGCTGCTTTAAATATCAGATCAAGGTGTTTAAGGGCTCTCAGAGTTCAGTGTTTCACTGTGTCAAACTAGACTGTTGTTGAATTGATACAAGCAATTACCCACAGAGAGGGCGAGAGTGTTGTCGGCTCTGCTGGCGTCAAATGTGGTCTGGCCTGAGGTGAGCCAGTGTATTTCATTTGGACAATGACCATGGCGTTGTGGTTTCAGACAGGCAGCAGTGGTCAGAGCGGCAGTGGTCATTTCACATTGTGAAAATATCTTTCACCAATGGCATGCTAGGAACTGTTTGTTGATCATAGTGTTACACAATATGTCTTCACTTTTGTGTTGTGAGAGCATAAGGAAACAAACACCCTTTTGAATTAAAAGATTCAATGGAAAACGAAAGCTACTTATGTATAAACAGAAATGAAAATATCTGAATGTCTAAAATTAACCATAGCAAACAAGTGTTGTTCTTTTTCTTCTGCAATTCTGCAAGTTGTTAAATGTTGTAACTGCTGTCCTTTCTCTTGTAGTGAACAGATAAATCAAGATGCTTACATGATGTTTATCACAGTTTCCCTCTAAGAATGGTTGAATTTTACCTGTAAAAACATGTAAATGCCTGCAGACATTTTGCTGTTATAATTATACATAATTATGCCACTGAGGCTAACGGAGCTGCAGCTGTCCTATGAATCACAATGAATTTAGTTATAATACCAGCTCAAAAGCATCTATTATCTAATGTAAATGCATATATCGTTCAAAAGTTTGATCAAATCAGTAAGATTTTAGTCTTATTTAGTCTCTTATGCTCACCGAAGCAGCATTTATTTGATCAAAAATACAGTAAAAACAGTAATATTGTGAAATATTATTACAATTTAAAACAACTTTTCTATTTTTATATATTTTGAAATGCAATTTATTTCTGTGATGATAAATCTGAATTTCTGCAGTCATTACTCCAGCCTTCAGTGTCACATGATCCTTCAGAAATCATTTGCTGCTTAAGAAATATTTTTTATCAATGTTGAAAACTGTTATGCTTAATATTTTTGTGGAAACCGTGATACTTTTTCACGATTCTTTGATGAATAGAAAGTTCAAAAGCATTGTTTTTATTTTAAAATAACTTAATAAAATTCAAGTTGGATTTATTTAAACTTTTGAACAGTAGTGTATTGACCTTAGTTATATTCACATTTTATTCTTTGCTAGATTTTATTTAAAATCATGACCGATCATGATTTTACCAACTGGACAAGAAGCAACTTTCTGAACACCCTTATATACACGTACCTCTTATTAAAATGCATGTGTGTAGAATACTGGACATAAAATCATATTAAATTTGCTTTTGTTGTTCAGTCGGTTACTGGTATTGTCTAAAAATCGTCAGGGAAATGTATTGAAACCCTGAGAAAAGAAAATTGGCTTATCAACATGACTACGTTTTTTGCCTTTGGGCATCTCAATTCCTGTAAATCTGTTTCTGAAAATGAAAGATCCTTTTGCTATTCTTGTGGCGAATTCCAACAGGAAGTGAGCATCCCTATGCCCTACTCACTTCGAAGGGCAGAGAACCCTTGGAGTGTGTTCTTTAAAGGGTGCAGGGCATTACTGTCTCGTATAAGTGTTTGGAACTCCCTTGGAGAAGGAAATGACTGACCAAATGTTACCTTGACAAAGCTGTGCGTGCGTGCAGGATTCAGCACTCCATCAGTTGTTGCAAATAAATATTTCTTCTTATTATTATTATTTTATTGAAATATTGTTTAATTATTTACTATTAAACTTTTTCAAACTAAACTTGCTTCCACTACCATCTTAAATCATATTTCTATCAATGATGAAAAATATTTTGTATTACATTAAAATAAAGACAAATTTAATTTGCTTATTCTACTTATGTTTGTATGTGAAGTCGAAATTAACCCCAACTTTGCTTTAAAATGCATCGCAAGATCTCCTAACCGAAGATCACATGATCACAAACGGAAGTGACCATCGCATGTTCCCTTCGCTAACGGACTTCTGGAAGGGCCCTTCATGAAGGGATTCAATTGTTCACTTTCATTTGAAAAGTCCCTACAAATGGCGTTCCCTTCCCAAAGTGTCCTTCAAGGGTGCAAAAAAGCAGTTTGGAACTCGTCCTTGGAAGAGATGAGGTTGTCTTACATCAAGGGTAATGAGAGAAAAAAGTGTCAGGACCAGTGATTTAGCTAGAGAATCATTTTCCACCTTTAGCACCCAGAGATCTTAAGAAACATCAAACAATGTAAAATGCACCTGAGCATGAATTGTGAGGCCTTTTACATATTTTTTATATTCCCTCCTTTGAACCTCTTCAAGATGGACAGTGGAAAACAGTGGAAACCACAAAATGAGTAATGAAATGAACTCTGAGATACTTACAGTAAGCTCGCATACGGAACGCATGATGATGTGCTCATGTAGTTGAGCAACATTGAAAGTCATCATCTCACATGCACTCAACATGTCCCACATTATGTGGCTTTTATCACTTTTGATCCTGTAATTTTGATTGGTCAAGCAGCTTTATGGGCCACTCACATAAAATGCATTTTTGCATTTAAAAATGCAAAGTACAAAGCGATGTCATACACAAGACGCTGCAAATGGTGCATTCAAGCCCTCTTGGGAAGTTTGTATTTACAAGTTGGGATGTCTTAATTATGAAGTCAAGTGCGTTCAAGTCACTTTAGCCAGAGCAAAAAAATTCAGCAAATATTTTTTACTGATAAAAAATCATCAGTGGAATGCAGTGCAATTTTCATTGGTGGATACAAATATACGAACTGGCCCAATTTTGTCTGAACACAATGCTAAATTAATCCCTTGTTTATTGAATTCTCAGTATTACGCTTGCAGCAATTGTGCTGTTGGTTTGCATATCGGCATGGCTAATTACATACAGCCTGATCTTTAGTGCAGCAGTGCGATATTGCTTACGCAGGAATGGCTGCCCTCTAAGGAGGCCTAAATGACCACAGTTTTTTCTGACATGAGAATGCTTCCTGTTCATGAGAATAATAATTTTTTGTCTTTCCGTCTCTGTCTCCATCTGATGTGAGTATATTTACACGTCGTCTGAAAACTCAAACAGAAACTTATGCTATTATTTTGACTAGACTGTGTTTGCTGCAGCACGAGAAGCCTGAGGAAGTGTAGGTGATCTGCGTCTGGTTTACCACTGCATGGCTGC